GAGGGAGGGAGGGAGGGATTGACAGACCCCACACACACCAGTTGTATGATTTCACATAAACCTGTTGGACTATTACCTAGTGTTGTGTGGCTTCTGACTTTCAACACAATTCATTGAGCAAGGTATGGACACAATACTGCCACCAAGGTGTCACTGGATCAAAAAACATAGACATCAGCAAAACCCAAATTTAACAGTAATTTGCTCACTTGAAAAGGAAGTGATTGACTAGTCCAAGCACCACTTTTAATGAAAACTAACTTGCAACTTGACTTGTGACAAAGTTATTTAAAAGAGAGTTAAATGGTGGCTCGGGTTTTCTGGACTAATGAGGGTGGATGGGCAAAACTCACCTTTATTTACGTTATTGCAAAAAGAACTTGGGGTCACAAAAATAAGATAATCACTGATAAATCATGTAAGAAATTTCAGGAGCAGCTTATTTATTCAGAGACTAATTAGACTGTGGAATTTGATACCATAAAGAACAGTTGAGAAAAGTGGCACAAATGCATTTAAGGGGAAGCAAGATGAGTACATAAGTAGGGTTGGAGGAGGATTAAGAGATGTATAAATACCAGCATCGTTCGGTTGGGCCAAATGGTCTGTTTGCCTCGTGTAAATTACTTATAACTTTGCAACAGTAACACTTCATCTGTACCAATTAATCTATTGAGAGCTGCAAGGGTCAGCACACATTAATTTATTGGATAGGACCACTCATTGGATTTAACTCATTACTTCAAACAAAAACTCATCTACGTAGGATCATCGTGATATAAGGAATAATAACGATAGAGACAAGGAGGGAGTGAGCTGAAACCTTCTCTGGCAATAAAGCCGATTCTGAACAGAACAAGGTTTCAGCTCCAGTGAGTCACAGAATGGGCCAAGGGTAATTATTTCAATATATTTTCCATTTTTCTTCCGTGTCACCTGACCGGTGCTTAGTTTCACTGACGTCAGTGAGCCTTCACTGTATTTGTCAAGCATGTGAGCCTAAATAGTGACTGCTAACACATTATTTAACTTTAAAAAGCCTCATGGCAGGTAATGGTCATCTGATCGGCCAGCTGATATCCTGATGCAAGCACGCAGCAATCAGGAAAGGCATCAGGGGCTGTTGAAGGTGTGGGGGTTGGGAGGGTCACTAAGCTTCCATACCAGTGGCCACAAAGGTGGTTAAGTAGCAGGTGTGCAGGGACCCTGCTTTCCTAGAAAAGATCAGTTCAGGGAAATCCTTCACGTCAATGCCATTCACTGTCCATCAATTTTTCCAATGAACTGACTGCTACTGTTGGATATTTACTTTCCACTGCAAATTAATATAATCACCAAAACTTAATCAAGCATATTAATGAATTTATTTCATTTATTTTTAAACCTCAAATGTTTCCATTAATCAGACTGAATAAGATTTACATTAGAAACATAACCTTTTCCATATCAGGTACCTTATATACAGACAGCAAGCCCTCTGCCCTGACACAACATGCAATCTCAATACAACCTCAGAAAAAACACCTAGCTACATGCTGTTTTATCATTTCTTTCATCAGTCATAAAGTCATACAGCATGGAAACAGATCTTACAGTCCAACTAGTCTACGCTGACCATGTTCCCAAACTAAACTAGTCCCACTTGCCTGCATTTGGCCAATATCCATCCAAAGCTTTCCTATTCATGTACTTGCCTAAATGTCTTTTAAATGTTGTAACTGCACCTGCACCCACCACTTTCTCTCAGTTATGGAGTCATACAGCACAGTAATAGACTGTTTGGTCCAACTCATCCATGACAACCAGACCCATCTGACCTAGTCCTATTTGCCAGTATTTGTCCCCTATCCCTCTGAACCTTTCCTATTTATATGCCATCCAATCATTATGTAATCTCTCCTATGGGGATTTGTGAATAGGCTTCTCTGGACAATGACCCAGGACTAGCTAAATATATTTCATAACAGAGATGCAACTGGATCTTTGAGATAGATTTCTCACTCCGAACATGAAGGCACAATTCGTATGGACAATCTCCCCCATGACCTCTCCTGAGTACCCACCACTGCCCAGTTTTGGAAGAATGGCAGGTGTATTTGTAATTCACACTGGCTAAAACATAACGGACTATTTACAGTTATTTTGTTGGCCAGAAGTGATTCTGACAAGTTGGTGATTCAGGAGCAATGGGATTCAGGCTGGAGATTCAATTTCTAATATTATGTGGCGAAGAAATTCCTCACCTTCTAAGCTGAATCTTACCAACAAGCTCCTCACTGCACCTGGCTCAATTTTCTACATATTTCAGTTTTGTATTAGACAGGCCACAACTGCACAAAAAAAAAGTTCAATGCAATTCTTGCTTTTCCATTGTAGTTCGTTTGTCTAATGTGCATGTCAGCCCTCAGTATCCAAAATGATGAATGCTTCAATAGAATGACATGGAAGGAAATATAAATACTGGGCTTTTATTTGGCAGAAAAATAAAATCAAATACTTGGCTTTCAGATTACATTTTCAAAATTTCCAAAGAGCCCACTCCAAATTCAGGTAAATGAAAACCCTAATGTATTAGAATGAGGCAGGGTTAACAAAAGAATCCTGCCTCTAACATTGCTCAGCTGTGCTGAGCAGACTGTCCTTTTTTGAAGCTAAAAAATGTTGGCACCAGTGGCTCAGTGATTAGTACTGTTGCCTCACAGCACAAGGGAGCCAAGTTTGATTCTAGCCTTGGGTGACTGTGTGGAATTTGCACGTTCTCCCCATGTCTGTGTGGGTTTCCCCCAGGTGCCCTGGTTTCCTTTCTCAATCCAAAAGATGTGCAGGTTAGGATGAATTGGCCATGCTAAATTACCCACAGTGTCTAGGGATGTGCAGACTAGGTGGAGTAGCCATGGGAAATGCAGGGTTACAGGGACAGGAGGGTGGGTCTGGGTGGGATGATCTTCAGAGGGTTGGCGTGGACTCGACAGGCCGAATGGCCTGCTTCCACACTGCAGAGATTCTATGACCTGTTCCTTCACACTATACTTCAGCCCAGTCTGACACCCTCCATATGTTCCATTCTCCCCTCCCCAAAATGGACTCCAGTGTGGATAAAGCTACTGCTTACTGCTAATGGCTATGTAATTAATTCCCTAATTGGTTTCTTCTGATTAGCTTGTTATTTTCCTACAGTACTAAGCATTTCCAAACTGTCTGGGGCAGATCATTACTGAAGCAGCAAAGTGACTAATAGTTTCTAATTGGAGCTGTCCAACTCAAAAGGATCAGCACTCGACTGGTTCTTTCAGCTCCAGCTTAAAGCCTGTCAGACAATTAGAGTCCCTCACATGCTGTCACTGCTACCTCACTGCATTTCAATCATTAGTGTGGAAAGGAAAAGATGACAAAAGGGGAGAAAAGGCAGAGTTACCTCATTCAATTATCAAAACAGATCAGCGCTTGAATAATGACATCAAGACCAAGCAACATCTGTTCTTGGCTGAGCTGGATGTTGCACCATGTTGAAGCTAAATAGCTTAAAATACCTATTGCCAATGTGAGCTCCTGGGTTGGTTATCACCACCTGAGGGGATCAGAGAGAATGCTTCCAGAGTTTTCTTTCTCCCATTTATTGGCTGCGTATTTTGTTTCAAGTTCTTGTGATTTCCAAAAGATTGCACAGGATCGAAAATGTCAAGTTTTAATGCTTCAGCCATCATGGTTATGGCCAGGTTTCAGAGATCAACTGGTCTTTTTCTGTCCATTAATTTTCTAGAGTTCTTTGTGGATAAACCAGCCTTGTAAATACAAAATCTTATCAAACAATGATATCTGAGAACAACAGACCAAGTATGGCCCAATTCAATAATCCCTCTGTTTATGAATATTGTTACTTGCACATAACCAGGTGAAACAGAACAACTCTACTTTAAGCCAAATGAGAACCAATCCCTGAATTTCAGTTCACACCCTGAACATAGGTTTCAAGCAATACAGGGAAAGGTTATAATGACTTCATACAGTTGGCAGATGGCCAAATGTGAAAGGAGCTGGTGGGGGCAGGGAAGGGCAAGGGGCACAGCAAATTTCAGACACCTGGATTTCAACTGAGGACAGTATCAAAATTCACCTAGTTTCATCATGGTTAATCACTTCACAATCTACACAACAAGCTCTCACATGAAAACATATGATGTGTCACAGGTGCATCCATAAAACCATAACCTGATAGGAGGTACCACCTTCAACAAAGTAACGAAGGAAATTCTGAGGGACAAAAGGACACCTCAGGGCACCTGACTAAGCAACCAGCAAAGTGAAGGAATGTCTGTAGTGTAATTGCTCACTGTACCTAGTATCACTGCATAAACTGGCACATAGCAGCATCAGTTATCCCACCATCTAGGGCAACCATGTTCTTGTCATTCAATGATAATACCCGTGGTCTAACTTTTGGGGTTCTTCACTTTCCTGAGAAGATGAGCAACACATTAACGCCTGACCTTCCTGCTCTATTTGAAGTGCACAGCCCTGTTTAACAGTCCTATATTCTGACGTCTCCATTCCAACCAAACTGAGTTCTATATATGGGATGATTCTGGACTTCATTATCCGACAAGACATCACCCTCCATTTTTGCTGCAATTCCATCAGCATTCAGATTATCGGATGCTCCAAATACTGTACCTTCTTTGACAGGAATGGTCGGTTTCTTCTGACGAAGTCCCAGCAAGATGAAGAAGAGAACCAATGGTATAAAAATCTCAAATGCCAGTACCCACTGTGAACAAACAAAGAGAGATGAAAACTTTAGAGCAGGAAAAGCTATTCATAGCAGTCATTAACCCGAAATTGTCAAGCTTTCAACTTGAGTGCTCTTCTGCATCGGCCTCATATTGTCTCCCCCATTTGCCTCCCTCTTCCACAGCTAAACACCAAAGGGAAGGTTGGGAACTTTCTGAATGCATTCCAATCCAAATTTCATCTCTTCCCCCACAGAGAGATTTGAAGGAATGCATTTGTTAGTTGGATTTGGAAATGCCAACTGCAAAGTGGATACTTTCCCCCCATATGTGCTTGCAAGATATAGCCCAGAAAACATATCCTATCACTAATCCCCTAACAGCTTTTCCCTATCCCCATTATTCTACTATACTTAATCCTCATTAGTCGACATTCCAGTTCATATTATTTTTCCTGGTAAGAAACGATAATCCATTATTTAATTACATACTTGAGAGTTTACTGTACTGCATTTAATTAATCTGTATGAATAGATTAAATCTTACATCTGATTACTACTCAGTAATCAATGCTATGGAGCCAAGTCCACCAAGAGCCATTAAAGAGAGATGCTTGGTTACGTATAGCTTCAAGGTAACTACTCCACACTTAGACAGGAAGCAAACCTCCATGAAGTGCCACAGCTGGTATCCGGATTGAACCCATGCTGTCGGTTCTATTGATTATATATAATCATATAATAAAAACAATAACAAGCTTAAACCTCTCCAGGTGGGTAGCACAGTAGCTCAGTGGTTAGCACTGTTGCCTCACAGCACCAGGAACCCAGGTTTAATTCCAACCTTGGGCAACTGTCCGTGTACAGTTTGCATGTTCTCCCAGTGTCTGCATGGGTTTCCTCCCACAGTACAAAGATGTGCAGTTTAGGTGGATTGGCCATGCTAAGTTGCCCCATAGTGTCCAGGGATATGCAGGCTCGGTGGGTTAGCCATGGGAAATGTGGGATTATGGGGATAGGGGGGGGGGGGGGGGGGGGAGGTGAGTCTGGGTGGGAAGCTGTTCAGAGTGTTGGTGTGGACCCAATGGGCTGAATGGCCTGCTTTCACACTGTCGGGATTATATGATTCAACACTAAGACTATGTATATATAATCAACTGACGAGGAAAATTGCATTTGTGCAAAGGCATCTTCACATCTGTACAGAAAATAAGTGTGTTTTGGCTATCTGCAGACCACCATCCACCACCCAGTTCCTTTGGAGACAGAGGTTGGGAGTTCAAGCTCCATTCTACAGACTCAAGCACATCATACATTCAGAGCAGTACTGGGGGAACACTGCACTGTCGGATGCACTATCTTACAACGATATGGTAGATCAATGCACCATCTGTATAAGTGAATGTAATAGAACTCATGGCAACATTCAATGAACAGTTGGCAGTTTTCTTGGTCCAAAGTTCGTCTGTTACCCAATATCAAAATTCTTGGCTATGGTTCAGTTAGTTGCTCTCTGACCTCTGAATCTCAATTTCCCAGTTTCAAGCGTAGTCCCAGGGCCTGAGTACAAAAACTAAGGCTAACACTCCACTGCATTATTGCAGATGTCACCAACCAGGAAAACTCCTCATCCATGATCGCTCTGTCACATCATGAATGAACTTTTAAAATCTCAATGCAATCCCCTCCCATTCCTCAAAACGATGAAAAACACAGGCCCAGTTCCCTCAATCTCTCTTCATTAAAACAATTTCAGGGGTTATCTGGTGAACATCTATTGCATGCCCTCTATGGCAAGCATATCCTTCCGTCGATAAGGGGGCCAAAACTACACAAAATATCACTGGTGAGACTTCACTAAGGCATTCTGTAGGAAAAATACATTGAGACAATGAATGGCTATGCTGTATATGGTTATAGAGTCATAGAGATGTACAGCATGGAAACAGACCCTTCAGTCCAACTTGTCACGACAACCAGATATCCTACATTAACCTAGTCCCATTTGCCAGCATTTGGCCCAAATCCCTCTAAATCCATCCTATTAATGTACCACTCCAGATGCTTTTTACATGTCGTAATTATACCTGTCTCCATCACTCCTTCTGGCAGCTCATTCCATACATGTACCACTCTCTGCATGAAATAGCTGCCCCCTCAGATCTCTTTTAAATCTTTCCCCTCTCACCTTAAACCTATGCCCTCTAGTTTCAGACTCCCCTACCCTGGAACCTTGGCTATTCACCCTATCCATGCCCCTCAGGATTTTATAAACTTCTAAGGGCAGCCCTCAGCCTCCGATACTCCAGGGAAAATAGCTCCAGTCTATTCAGCCTCTCCCTGTAGCTCAACCCTGGCAACATCCTTGTAAATCTTTTCTGAATCCTTTGAAACTTCACAACATCTTTCCTGCAAGCATTTCATTCTTTTAACATTGATATCTTTTACTTCATAAGTGTTTGTTCTAATTGGTTGTGACAAGTTGTCTTCTTCTGCCACAATTCATAACAAAACTGGCTGCACTTCAGAATTAGTTAATTGACTACGTATGTTTTGTGATACCCTGAGGACAAGCAAGGTACTTTCTAATTACATTTTCTCTCTTTCACAAAGATATACACAGCTCAACAGGTGAAATCCAATGGGTCTTGAAGGCCGTTGTTTTGAAAATTCCTTAGGCTATACTTGAGTAGCTTGTACTATACATTCAATAAGTGTTTGCTCCTTAGATGACAATAACCTTTGTCAATACCATTGCACCACTAGAAGGCTCCCTCAATCAGTTAATATCCTATTCTGTGTAAGAACCTAACAGTTCAACACTCTGGGGAGGAGCGCAGCTAAATACTGAAGATGTAGTATAGGAAAAAGGAAATAACAAAGTGCAATAATGTACAATAAAACTACAGGAGAACTTGAACAAAAGCAGAATGGGAATAGTAAAACTACCCTTTTTGTTTTCATATGGAATGTCACCCAGCCTACATTGGCATTAAACTGAGTTGCTTGCCAGTCCAGAACGAGGGAACTTAAGAGGCACATGTCAGCCATGAGTGACACTGGCAGATTTTCTTTCCTAAAGGGCATTATCAAATGAGACGGTTTTCACCACAATCGACAATAGTCGCATGGTCACCACCACAGACTTGATTTCAATGCCAGATCTATTCATCAAATTTAATGCCCCCAGATGCCACGGTGAGATATGAGCCCGTGTCTCCCCAAAATCCTGGGCCTCTGGGTTACTCTTTCAATGGCATTACCACGATACCACCATTTCCTCCCATTGACTGGAAGGATAAGAAAGACAAACTGATGAATATGCTGATCTCTTCAGCAGGTGTTTCTACGTCTGGTAGTAGCTTCAAGTCTCTCTCCTTCAAGTTTAAATGAATATGAATTAATTTCTTTCCTCATTTATCACTGTTACCAGCACTGCTGCTTATCCCTGTCATATCATTTGTGAGGATTAAACACACCCCCATCTCCAAGAGGTCAGATTTTAACCACTATCAAAGTGGGCAACCTCAAAAAGAACGTCTGAAGTTAGCCCTGGATGTTCACCCCACTGAGGGACACGAATGGATGGAATAGAACATGAAGCAATTTCAAGTATTTGCTTCTTCCGAATTTCAGATTCCCAACATCCACAGCATTTTGCTATTGATTGTTTAATTTATGTTTCAAGAATGTCAACCTCCAAGAAGTCCAGCTCTCCATCCAACAATATTCAGTTTGTCCAGGTCTCTAGCATCTTCTAACTCTGATGGAAGCTAAACTGCAAACCATATCTCTCTCCCCACAGACGCTGACTGGCCTACAGCGATTTTCCATTTTTGTTTTTATTAGATGTTTCAGGGTGTCTGTACAACTGGAATGTCCATTCACAGCCAGCAGTACCTGGTGTGATTGCCTGGTTTCAATGGAGTGATGCATTTCCACAAGGTGAGAACGTCCTGCAGTTCAATTTGAAATTAAAGGAGTTGATACATCATGTTGCAGCTGAACAAGACATTGAGGCCACATTGGTGAGGAATCTAGGCAGGTACATGAATAGGAAAGTGTTAGAGGGATATGGGCCAAATGCAGGCAAATCGGACTAGTCCAGTTTTGGATATCTGGACGAGTTGGGCCAAAGGGTCTATTTCCTGTGTTGTATGACTCTGTATAGGAGGGAGAATTCAGAAAGTGCTCAGTAAGTCTAAGGGAGTATCAGTGTATTTTACAAATGTAATTTTTTCTTATTCATTAACAGGAAGATGGCATCACTGGCTAGGCAGCATTTATTGCCCGTCCCTAATTGTCCAGGGGGCAGTTAAGAGTCAACCACATTGCTCTGGGTCTGGAGTCACATGAAGGCCAGACCAGGTAAGGATGGCGGTTTCCTTCTCTAAAGGACATGAATGGACCAGATGGGCTTTTCCTGACCATCAACAATGGATTCATTTGACAATAGATGTTATTTAAATACAATGCTCTCCCTTTCTTGTATTTCTTCTCTCGCTCATTTAAACAAGTCAAAGGGCATGTTATAAGCTTGCTATTCTGCGATTTTTTTTGGTGCTGTCCAAAAACATTGTGCTCTGAAACACAGCACTTGAATATCACAAGGCTCCCCACATTTTGGCTGTAATTAGTATCAAGTCACAAATGAGCTCCAGTTAGAAACCAGGCAGAGGGAGAGAAATCACAGGTCTCAGTGCTGGCCCTGGCCCAGGCTCCTATCCCTTCCTGAGCACAACAGACCCCCAAATCCATGGACCCCAATTACTGGGCCATGGTTTACCCCACCGTGTTGCAAGCCTGTTAGGAACACTGCTTCAAGGACACAACATGTTCCCAACAGTTATACCCACTCTGTCATATTTATCACTGGGCCTTTAAAGACTGTGAGCAATGAAGATGATTGGACGTATGATAAAACCTGTCTGGAGAAGATGAGGGAGAGGGGAATGCTGCCAAGTGGACTCTCCCACTGGAGGACCATCTCCCAAGTGGCCCAGGGATGACAAGTCCCAAGTGAACACAATCCTGGATTT